CAGTGTTCGTATTCCCTTAGGATGAGGGAAGAGATGACGATCTGACTCCATGTTTCAGAAGGCTGATTTATTATTTTATGATATATATATTACATTATAACTATAGTAAAAAGAATACAAGGAAAAGTTTCATCTCAGAAGGCTAGCTAAGATAAGAATAGAAAGGAATGAATAATAAAGGTTTGTGTCTCGAGCAGAGAGTCCAAGCTAACTGGGCTGTGGTTGGCCATTAATTGTAAACATCCAAGATGGGCCAATCACAGATGCACCTGTTGCATTCCACAGCAGCAGATAAACACTGTTTACATTTTGTTCCTGAGTCCTCTCAGCTTCTCAGGAGGAAAAATCCTAAAGAAAGGATTTTTCATAAAGGATGTCTGTGACACAGCCACACATGGGGAAGGCTCTTCTCAGAGGGTTTGGGAACAAGGAATGGGTTGGGAGACCCTGACACTGCGTTGCTCCTGGGGCGGGATGGATCCCAAGGCAGCAGCCATGGACAGCCCAGCTCCTCTCACCTGGTAGGGGAAGCACTTGGCCACGGAGAGCTCAGTGCCAGCAGCCACCATGTCGCCGCTGGGCAGCAGCACGTACACCAGAATCCTGACCATGGGTGCCAGCTCCACGCCAATGGGCAGCTCCAGGGAGAGGGAGGATCTCTGTCCTGGGCCATGGAAAGGAGGAGATGTTACCCAGAGAAACTGCACCTGCTCCAGCCCTGGAAGTGTCCAAGGCCAGGTTGGACAGAGCCTGGAGCACCCTGGGAGAGTGCAGGGCAGGGGGATGCAGTGGGATGGGTTTGGAGGCCCCTTCCAACCCAAAGCATTCCTGGCTCTGTGAGGAGCAGGCAGGGGGAGCAGAGCCCTGCACAGCCCCTCCATGCCATGGGACATACCAGGCTCTGCAGAGATCTCTTTCCTGAAGATGCTGGTTATGGAGCCCTTGGCCAGGACCTGCAGAGGAGGGGGGGGAAACAAAACAGAGGCTGAGTATGGAATCAAAGTGCCCTGGTAGAGGATGGTCTCACAACGAGAGTTCTGGGATGATTTCTGACCATGCCCAGTCTCCAGTTCCCCCACCAGCTCCCATGGGGGTGCAGGCCCCACAGTGGCAGCAGCCACCTCCTCTGACAGGTCCCTCAGTCCCTCCAGGACAGGTTGCTCATTGTCCTGTCCCTGGGGACACCACCATGAACAACGTGGAGATGTGGCCCTTCCCACAGAACCACCCTGATTCCTGCTGCTGGGCTCACCATGAAAACCATATCCAGGCTCCTCAGCTCAGTGCCCAAAGCCTCCTTGCCAAAGATGGAATCCACGTGGAGCAGCTGGGAGTGGCCGCAGGGCAGCTCGCCCTGCGGGGCGCGGATGTGCAGGAAGCTCCCGCTCTTGGACAAGTGAGGCATGAGGGTCAGGAAGGCACCTCGGGGCCTGAACGAGCCCTCCTGGCTCTCAGCTGTCCCAATGACTTTAGCCTGAGGTGGGAATCAGGGGGTGAATCCACCAGCAGACCCCGAGGATGGTGCAGCTCCAGTGGAGGAAGCAGCTCAGGACCCCCGATGGAGGGACAAGGGTGGGCACTTACCCGCAAGGAGACCCGGTCCCCCCAGCCAGAGGTGTCCAGCTGGAAGAAGGCTCTCCCTGAGCTGTCAGTCAGGAGGCTTTGTGTCCTCTTTTCTCTATTGTTGTTGATGGAGAGCAGGACCTGCCTGTGGGGTAGCCCAGAGCCGTCGGCTTCCTCCAGCCGGATCTGGGTGGGATGGAAGGGGGGATGATGCAGTGTGGGGCTACAGCTGGTGCACAACAGGGCTGGGAGAGCAGGGACAGGGGTGGTAGCAGCAGGAACAGGGATGGGAACAGCACGAACAGGGATGGAAGCAGTAGGGACAGGGATGGAAGCAGTAGGGACAGGAATGGGAGCAGCAGGGCCAGGGCTGGGATGGGCAGGGACAGGGATGGAAGCAGCAGGGACAGGGATGGGAGCAGCAGGGGCAGGTGAGCCCCAGGGCAGAGGGGAGCCCCCGTTACCGTCCCACTGTAGGGGAGTCCTGGCTTGTAGGCATGATCAGGGTTCTCAAAGGTGACCATGACAGATTTGCGTAAAACCTTGCAGGTCTTGGCACTCTTCATCTCCAGCCCTGTGGAGAGCCAGTGGGGAGTTCAGGATGTTGCAGGACACAGGACACAGCTCAGCTCTGGCCAGTGCCCCTGTTCCTTCGCAGAAATGGTCCCTGGACATTTGGGTGTCACAGACATGTTTTATGAAAAATAAAAGGATCTTTTCCTAAAGATTTTTTTCTCCTGAGAAGCTGGGAGGCCTCAGGAACAAAATGTAAACAATGGTTATCTGCTGCTGTGGAATGCAACAGGTGCATCTGGGATTGGTCTCATGTGCTTGTTTCTAATTAATGGCCAATCACAGTCAGCTGGCTTGGACTCTCTGTCTGAGCCACAAGCCTTTGTTATCATTCTTTCTTTTTCTATTCTTAGCCAGCCTTCTGATGAAATCTTTTCTTCTATTCTTTTAGTATAGTTTTAATAGAATATATATCATAAAATAATAAATCATATCATAAATCAATAAATCATTCTGAAATATGGGGTCAAATCCTCATCTCTTCCCTCTTCCTCAGGGCCCTGTGAACACCACCATATTTGGGCTTTCCTCCAGCACAGTTTGCATCTCCTACAAGAGCAGCACAAGCCCTGTGGAATATTCCAGACCTAAAGCTGAGGTGCAGCTGGGGGCAGATCCCAGCCTGGCTCAGGATGGATTTTGAGCCTGGCTTTGGGATGGATTTGGAGCCTGGCTCTGGATGGATTTGGAGCCTGGCTCTGGCACAGTTGAGCCAAGGCCAGTACCAGCATGGCAGAGAGAGGTGGCATCTCCCAGTGTCTTAGGAAGGCTCCAGCACCCCTTTAATCTGGGGCCATCCTGCCCTTGCAGGGACCCCAGGGGTTGCTCAGGGGTGAAAGAGGCTGAGCCTGCCGCTATTCCTGGTGCCTGGTGCCTTGGTGGCTATCAACACCTGAAATTCCAGGCCTTGCCAAGCTGCCCTGACTCACACCCTGACCCAAACCCCATCGCTGCATGTGCACCCCTAAACCCCAGCAGCGCTTTTGGGTGCTCCTGGAGAGCACCAATCCCTTGGCATGGCCACACCCCCATCCCCACCTGTGCCATCCTCCACCAGTGATGCCTCGACTTCGAGTTTCTTCCTCGAAAATGAAGGCAAAATACTCTCCTTGAAGGCAGCCTGAGAAACCTCTGTGGAAAAGCAGCCGTTCTTCTCCGTCTGGAGGGAAAATCAACCCCATCAGCAGCATTCCCAGGAAGGAGCACCTGCAGGGACAGCCCAGCCCTGACCACACTCACCTGCCCCATAACCTGGGTGCAGGTCTTCTGTAACCCGTGAGCCCAGAGGTTCTGTCTGAGGCACAGGTCAGCCTGGACCTTCCCTTGGACAGGCTTCCCGTAGGTGTAGCTGTGTGGGGACAGGAGAGAGGCTGTGCTGGGAAGCCTCCACTCTCACAGACATTTTTTATGAAAACCCCATTCCTTAGGATTTTTCCTCTTGAGAAGCTGAGAAGCTTCAAAAACAAAATGTAAACAATAATTATCTGCTGCTGTGGAATGCAACAGATAGATCTGTGATTGGCCCGTGTTAGTTGTTTTTAATTAATGGCCAATCGCAGTGAGCTGGCTCAGACAGAAAGCCACAAACCTTTGTTATCATTCTTTTTTTTCCTATTCTTAGCTAACCTTCTAAGGAAACCCTTTCTTCTATTCTTTTAGTATAGTTTTAATATAATATATATCATAAAATAATAAATCAAGCCTTCTGAAACATGGAGTCAGATCCTCATCCTAAGATCCCTGTGAACACCATCACACCCCATTCCACTGGATCCCCCCCATCTCCCCCATCTCCCCCATTCCCTGCTCCCCTCTCACCGCCCGCAAATCTCCACCGGGATCTTCTCGTCCTGCTCCCACAGCACGCTGGGGAGGTGAATGGTCACCTCAAACTTGGGCAGCACTGTGGACAGACACAAGGACATGAGGCAAAGTGGAAATTTTCCAGGGTAGAAATCCATTTTGATTTAGGTGAAATGTACATTTTTGAGTTGAGTCTGTAGTTGGAAACCATAGTTATTTAGCCAGACTGCAAAGCCTAGGCTCAGTGAAGTTGCTTCAGTGAAGGACAGAGATAAAGGAGGAGAGACAGAGGGTGATAGAGAGACTGCTGTGAGAGCAGCTCAACCTGACCTAGGAATTCTTTCTGATAAAGAAGAGCTAGCGACAAATGTCACGTGAAATTCATAAAAATGAATATGTATGAACCTATGGTGATATTGCATGCATATGTATCTAAGAGGGGGATAAAAAGGGACTTGAAGTTCCCAGAGGTACACATGTCATCTTGAGGGGAACAATTCTCACATGTGTCCAGCGCTGTAACAACCATACTGGCTTTACAACTTTCACAAAGTTGTGCAGTTTTGATTATCTCCGCAAAACAGACACGGGGGGGTCGCTCCCGGAACAGTGACAACATCTCCTGGGTGGCTGCAGGGGTCAGGACCTGCTGCCCGTGGTGGGGTCCCCTTTCCCAGAGCCCAGTACTGTTGTAGGGTGTTTTTATTTTATAGGTTGTTGTTTCATTTGTTGTTTGTTAGTTTTTTGGGCTTTTTTCCCCCTGATTTTGGAGTGACACAGACTTGCCTTTGTTATTCAATTGTGCCAGGTGTCCGTTTATCTCTTTGCTACTTAGCTACTTTTCTGCCAAGTTTCAAACCCTTTCCTCCCAACATCCAGCTGTTAACCCCTCCTGTCCCAAGCAGTTTTCCTCCCTTGTATCCTTTGCCCTTGTGTTTCACCCCTAGTTCTCCTGATTAGCTGAACATCGAGTCCTCCCTTGAGACCTGCCCCCTGTATACGCTGTCGCTTGTCCCCAGCTCATTGCCTGGGGGACTGTCACCCCTCACTGTCACCATCTAGCCAGGACAGGTGACACAGTGCCACACAGTACCGTATTCCTCCACGCTGAAGGAGTGGCTCTTCCCCTCCACGCTGATGGTGTAGGTGCCCAGCGCCGGCTCCGAGGCCAGCGGGAGAGACAAATCCACGATTCCCTGCCGAGGGCTCAGCTCCCGCCACTGCGCGATGCGGTTCCCGCTGGGATCCTGGGGGACACCGGGATCAGCCCCAGGGAGGCGACAGAGAGCCCTGGCTGTGCCCTGGGTCCCCTCTGCCACCCCATGCGGGTCCCAAACTCACCTGCAGGAACACCAGGGGCAGCTGGAAGGCAAAGAGAGAATGGTCAGAGGAGCAGTTCCGTTCCTTGAGGGCTCAGCAGGGTGGGCATGGCAGAGGGACGGTGGGATGATGTGAGCTGTGAGCCCTCAAGGGTCTCTGGGATTTTGAGCCTGGCTCAGGATGGAGTTTGAGCCTGGCACTAGCAGGATGGTTTTGAGCCTGGTTTTGGGATGGTTTGAGTCTGGCCTTGGGATGGATTTTGAGCCTGGCTCTGGATGGATTTCGAGTCTGGATTTGGGACGGATTTGGAGCCTGGCTTTGGGATGGACTTTGAGCCTGGCTCTGGGATGGATTTTAGGCCTGGCCCTGGATGGATTTTCAGCCTGGCGCTGGGATGGATTTTGAGCCTGGACCTGTATGGAATTTGAGCTTGGTCCTGAATGGATTTTTGAGCCTGGCTTTGGGGTGGATTTTGAGCCTGGCTTTGGGATGAATTTTGAGCCTGGCCCTGGATGGATTTTGGGCCTGGCTCTGGATGGATTTGGAGCCTGGCCCTGGGATGGTTTTGAGCCTGGCTTCGGGATGGATTTTGAGCTTGGCCCTAGGAAGGATTTTGAACCTGGCTCTAGGATGAATTTTGAGTCACCTCCCCATGTCCCAGCCCTGCTCTCACCTTCTGGCTGCTGGGGGTCAGGTCCTTATTCAAAGAGACCACTCGGAACTTCACTGGGAAAGGAAAAGGAGATGGAGGAGCAGCTTCATCCTGCACAGAGGGCATTCCCCATGGGAAGGGGGAGGGAAACCCACCCTGAGCCCTGTCCTGCCCCCAGCAGCACGGCCCCAGTAAGCCTGGCACTGCCCTGTGCCCGTGCTGGGCATTCCAGGGCATCCTGGGATAAACCCACACAGGAAACCTCAGGATAACCCTCCCAGGACAGCCTGGGATAATGCCCCTAGGACATCCCGGGATAACATAACCCCTCGAGGAAATCCTGGGATAACCCAACCCAGGATATCCCGGGATAACCCCACCCAGGACATCCTGGGATAACCCTACAGGACATCCCGGGACAACCCCTCACTGGAAACTGCAGGATAACCCAACCCAGGACATCCCGGGACAACCCCTCACTGGAAACTGCAGGATAACCCAACCCAGGACATCCCGGAATAACCCCTCACTGGAAACTGCAGGATAACCCAACCCAGGATATCCCGGGATAACCCCTCACTGGAAACTGCAGGATAACCCAACCCAGGATATCCTGGGATAACCCTCCCGGCTCCAGGCAGTGCAGAGCAAGGCTCAACCCCTCACTCCAGGGTTGTTCCCAGGGCAGGGGGTCCCTCCTGCCCCCTCACCTTCCTGCCCGGGTTTGTACACAGCCTTGTCAGTCTGGATGAACACCCCGGGGCTCAGAACTCTCAGCATCACCTTCTTCTCCTCGGAGACATCCAGGGACTCTCCTCGGATGGAGACGTTCAGGGCCACGATCTCCTCCTTCCCTTGGGCAGGGGCTGGAGCCTGGGGGGGATCAGTGGGCTCGGGGTGGGACAAGGACAGGACCAGGGTGGGGACAAGGACAGGGCCAGGGTGACCCTGAGCACGCCCAGCCCCAGGGACCCCACACCTGACACTGGCTGGGGCTGTGTACAAATCACCAACGGGACGGGGCTGCTGGGAACTGCCTTGAGCTGTTTCATTTTCCAGCATCAGTCTCATTACATGGTTATGGCAGCAGCTCACATCCCAGGCAGCAGACCAAGAACTCAATGTTACAACTCACTTTATAAGTTTTTTGACCAATCACACAAAGCAAAAGCACATTGACAGTAGTTCTATCCAACCAGTGTAAGCACATGTACCTGTGGTTAAAACAATGCTTGCTTATTTTGAATACAATACCTGCTTGTGAGCCTTAAAACACAATGCACAGAGCTCCATTATAAGGCTTCAAACTTCCTAATATCTTGCTAGATAAACTTTTCTGTAGCTTGTAAGCTACAATTGTAATTGTATCTTACAATTATTAGAATAATTGTAGTTATTCTAGACAAGCCTTAATACACAGACCATTGTTCTGTTTGTCTTTGCTTTTCTACAGTTTAAATAATTTTTCTGCTGACCAATCTCATGGCTGCTGCTTAGCTCTAATCACAGTTCTGCTGTCTCTGGGGCCTGCCTTTTGCAGCTTTCCCAAAACTCTCTAATTTTGTGGATTCCCACAACACCCAGGGACCATTCCAGCTGCGATAACCTGAATCCAGCTGAGCCTGAATCAGTGGGGGAACCCAACAATCAGGGGTGGGAAACAGTCAGGGCGAGGGTGAGACCCTCACACAAGATGGGGAAGTCCCCAGCCCTGATGGAAACGGCTGGGGGAGGGTCCCCCCCACCTGCTCCCAGCTCCTTTGGGGTGACACTGGGGTGACATTGGGGTGGCATTGGGGTGGCTTTGGGGTGGCACTCACAGGGAAGGTGACGTTCAGGTACAGCTGGGGCTCCAGGACCTCTCGGCTCAGTAGGGTGGTGGGAGGGGTCCTGCTGTCCCCCTGCAGCTGCACATGGAGCTGGACGGGCCCCTGGAGGTCCCTGAGGTGCACCCAGAGCGTGGCAGGCTGGGGGTGGTACAGCACAGCCGGGGACACCACCACGAAGCTCCTGGCAGGGACAAGGGACAGGAGAGCCCTGGGCTGACGCACATCCAGCACAGAGACCTGGAACAGCCCCTGGAGCACAGGAACCCCCCCAGGATCCCCTCTGTTCTGCTGGGCTGCCCTGGGCTCCCCAGCTCAGCTCTGCAGGTGAGGGAACAACAGCTCCTGGAGCCACCGGGGCCACCAAAGCCACCAGGGCCAGCAGGGCCACCAAAGCCGTGTCCTCAGTGCTCCTGGGCAGGGAGAGCCCCCAGCCTGAGCAGCTGGGGAGCCCTGGGCAGCAACCAATGGGAGGGATTGAATCCCACCAGGAACAGCAAGGAAAGCAAGGTTAAAGCACCCCAGCAGGCACAGGAGGGACTGAATCCCACCAAGAACTACCAGAGAGCCAAAATTAAACCACCCCATCAAGCACAGGAAGGATTGGACCCCACCAGGAACTCCCAATAGAATGAAGCTCAACCATCCCACCAGACACAGGAGGGACTGAATCCCACCAGGAACTACCAGGGAGACAAGGTTAAACCACCCCAGCAGGCACAGGAGGGGTTGAACCCCACTAGAAACTGCAAGGAAAGCAAGGTTAAAGCACCCAGCAGGCACAGGAAGGATTGAATACCCCAGGAATTGCCAGAGAGCCAAGGTTAAACCACACCATCGAGCACAGGAGGGATTGAGTCCCACCAGGAACTGCAAAGGAGTCAAGGTTAAACACCTCATCAAGCACAGGAGGGACTAAATCCGACCAGGAACTGCAAGGGAAGCAAGGTTAAACCACCCAGCAGGAACAGGAGGGACTGAATCCCACCAAAAACTGCAGAGGAGCCAAGATTAAAGCACTCAACCAGGGCACAGGAGGGACTGAATCCCACCAGGAACTGACAAGAGGATGAAGCTCAACCACCCCAGCAGCCACAAGAGGGATTGAACCCCACCAGGAGCTGCCAAGGTTAAACACCCCAGCAGGGACAGACGGACACAGAGGGGACTCACGGCGCTCCTGAGGCCCTGGCTGAGAGGAGCAGGATGGCAAAGAGGATGGGAAGGGCTGGACACATCATGTCTCCAGCTGGATGTGGATGCTGTGGATGCAGCCTCTCCCTGCAGCTCTGGGTCCCTCTGGATCTGTGTTTGACCCGCTGCTGGCTCTGCAAATGGGTCCTTGTGTCCCCACCAGGGCTGGCACAGCAGCCCTGGGCACCTGCAGATAAATCCAGGCAATGTTTGCCCTCTGCCCACGGCTTCCAGGGGTCAAGGACCCCAGGCATGTTTGCAATATTGGGAAAGGTCTCTGGAGCTTCACTCTGGGCCAGGATTCCACAGATTTGCTGGGAAATGATGTCAGGAGGCAGCAGGAACACACCGGAAAGGAAAACAGGGAGCACAACCTGAGGAGGGGCTGGGAGCTGGGGCTGATTTCTCAGAAATGAACAATTTACAGGTATTTCAAATGTAACCAGGTTTGGGCAAATCACGTATCCCAGGCTGGCTTTTTGCCCAGTTTCACCCAGTCTGGACAGAAGAACAGGCCAGTGTGGGGATGTGGCATCACCATCTGCTCCCATTGCACACATGGATACCCACCAGGGCAGGCCCGAGCTGCTGCCTGAGGATTCTTCACTTCTTTTTTCTGTTAAGGGTGGGATTAAATGTGTGAGACAGTATTTTTTGTTCAGATCCAAATGTTTATTGGTTCTTATTCTGTGTTACAGTCTCACAAACCCTGACTTCTAAAGCAGTTCATTCTAAAAAGCTAAAAATGGAGATCTGTCTCTTTCTCTCCACAAGGCCTTTTACGGATAAGCTGTCAAATCATAAAAAATAATTATTTATTAATTAATTCTAAAATTGTTTTTATTTTTAACCCAATAACCAACCACCTGTGGCCCACAATGCAGACTTTTTCATCCAATTACACAAAACCACCAGGAGAAGGAGAAGGAGAAGGAGAAGGAGAAGGAGAAGGAGAAGGAGAAGGAGAAGGAGAAGGAGAAGGAGAAGGAGAAGAGGAAGAAGAAGAAGCCTCCACTCTAAAACCTCCATCTTGCTCTATATATATTACTATATTGTAAACCCTTAAACTCCAAGTTTTCCACCCTGTGATGTCACACACTTCTATCCAAACTCCACACCCACAATCCCAGTTCTATCATTCCATTTTGGAAGCTGCTCCACACCCTCAGGTCAATGCAGAGTTCTCCTGGGGTCAGTGCCTGCCAGCACAGAGGGTCTCAAATTCTCAGTGTCCAGGGTTCCAACAGCTTCCCTGTGTCCTGGTGGGGATGTGGGACAGCTGAGGAGCCCCACGACAGCCCCACAGTCCTGAGCACACCCCCTGCTCTGGGGTTTTGCAGTTCTCTTCCCTCTGAGGCTGTGGGAACCATGGAATCATGAAATGGTTTGGGCTGGAAGGGACCTTAAAGCCCCTCCAGTTTCACCCCTGCCATGGCAGGGACACCTTCCCCTGTCCCAGGGTGCTCCAATCCCCTCCAGCCTGGCCTTGGGCACTGCCAAGGATCCAGGGGCAGCTCTGGGTATCTGTGCCAGGACTCCACAGGAAGCCATGGATGGGGCTGACCTTTTCCATGGCATCTCAGATGACTACAGCTCTGTCCCCACGCCTGCCCAGCCCAGGTTTTGCTGGACACAGCTCTGTGCCCACCTCCTGCCCTTTGGAGCAGCCCCCGGAGCTGTGGGTGGATGGAACTGCCACCTCAAGGACACGAGGAGGGAGCACGGCCCGAGCTCACCCAGCCCTGCAGGAAATGGGCAGGGTCAGTGCCCTGCCAGACATCCCAGGGGGACAGGAGCTCACGGCTCCCCCAGCACTGCCAAGGCCACCGTGAGCCCTGTCCCCAAGTGCCACCTCCACAGGGTGAAGGTGGAACCCCTCTGTGGCAGTGTTCACAGGGGTGCCAGGATGAGGGAAGAGATGAGGATCTGACTCCATGTTTCAGAAGGCTGATTTATTATTTTATGATATATATTATATTAAAACTATACTGAAAGAATAGAAGAAAAGATTTCATCAGAAGGCTGGCTAAGAATAGAATAGCAAAGAATGATAACGAAGGTTTGTGTCTCAGACAGAGAGTCCGAGCCAGCTGGACTATGATTGGCCATTAATTAGAAACAACCACATGAGACCAATCACAGATGCATCTGTTGCATTCCACAGCAGCAGATAACCATTGTTTGCGTTTTGTTGCTGAGGCCTCTCAGCTTCTCAGGAGGAAAAACCCTAAGGAAAGGATTTTTCATAAAAGATGTCTGTGACACCGCTGCAGGGATGGGGACCCAGAGCAGCCAGGCAGGACAGACCTTGGAGCACCAGAATTTGTTTCCAGAGCCCCCATGCCAAGGCTTTTTCCTCTCCTCAAGCTTTCACATCCCACTGCCAGTGCAAAACCCAGGGATGGCTCTGGCTGGGCCCTGTCCTTCCAGCAGGACAAGGATTTGTCCAGAGCAGCTGGGGCTGCCCCTGGATCCCTGGCAGTGCCCAAGGCCAGGCTGGATGGGATTGGGGCACCCTGGGACAGTGGGAGGTGTCCCTGCCATGGCAGACCTGGATGGGCTTTATGGTTCCTCCCACCCAAACCATTCCATGGTTCCATTGATGCTCAAACCCCCGGACCCAAACTTTGGGCAGCCAAACCACGCCAGGGGTGTGGTGGGACCCCCAGGCCAGCTCAGAGCTGACAGACCACAGCACACGTTGGGAATCCTGGGTAGCAGGAAAGGATTAAAGGAGTTTTCTGGGACATGGGATCTTCCTCTGCCCTTGGCCATGTCCATGTGACATCTCCTGATCCCGTGGGTTGTTCCTCATGGGAAGCCTCTTTGCAGTTTGATGTTGCAACAGATTTGAGGAGGATTTCCTCCATAATCCAGCTCTCCTGAGAGCAGGAATGGTGCCAAACCAGAGCTCTGTGCCTGGGTTTGCACTTTTTATCCCAGGGTGGGAGGGAAACCTTGCACACCTTGCTCCCCACAAGGGGACAGCCACACCCTGCCCTGTCCCTGCCCTGCTGCCACCCTGTGGGCTGGCACAGGAGCTGCTCAGCTGGGAAGGAGCCAGGAGATCCCAAATCCCTGCCTGGCTGCAGGGAACCATCCAGCTGTTGGATGTGTCATGGTCCACAGGCCATGGAGAGGCACCTCCAGGTGGGACTGTGTCCAGGTGAGCACCATCCAGGTGTTGCTGGGAATTTGAGGCTTCAATGGATGCTCTTCCTGTGCATTTAGTGGTGCAGGGAGAGCTCTGCCTCAGGGGCAGCCCCAGCCCGGGGTAACTGTCACCCTGCCATGAGCTCCTCACACCAGCCCTGGGGTGGGGATGCTCTGTGTGCAGGGTGCTTTGTGTGCAGAGTGTTTTGTGTGTGCACTGAGCTCTGTGTGCAGAGTGCTCCATCTGCAGGGTGTTCCCTGTGCTGGGTTCTCTATATGCAGGGTGCCCTGTGTGCTGGGTGCTCTCTATTCAGGGGTGCTCCCTGTGCAGGATGCTCCTTGTTCAGGACTGTTCTGTGTGCAGGGTGTTCCCCGTGCAGGGTGCTCCCTGTGCTGGGTTCTTTGTGCGCAGGGTGCTCTGTTCAGGGATGCTCCATGAGCAGGGTGCTCCTTGTTCAGGGTGTTCTGTGTGCAGGATGCTCCATGTTTGGGGCTGCTCCCTATGCGGGGTGCTCTGTGTGCAGGGTGCTCTGTGTGTAGTGTGCTCTGTGTGCAGGGTGCTCTCTGTTCAGGGGTGCTCCATTGTGCTGGGTTCTCTGTGTGCAGTGAGCTCTGTGTGCAGGGTGCTTTGTGTGTGCAGGGTGCTCCCTTTTCAGGGATGCTCCCTGTTCAGGGGTGCTCTGTGTGCAGGGTACTCTATGTGCAGGGTTCTCTGTGTTCAGGGTGCTCCCAGCTCAGGGTGCTCTGTGTGCAGGAATGCTCTATGTGCAGGAATGCTCTATGTGCAGTGAGCTGTGTGTACAGGGATGATCCCTGTGCAGGGTACTCTGTGTTCAGGAGTGCCCCACATGCAGGGTGTTCCATGTTCAGGGTGCTCCCTGTGCAGGGGTGCTCTGTGCTCAGGGATGCTCTGTGTGCAGGATGCTCTGTGTGCAGGGTGTTCTGTGTGTAGGGTGCTCCCTTTTCAGGGGTGCTCCCTTTTCAGGGGTGCTCCCTGTTCGGGGGTGCTCTCTCTGCAGTGTGGAGTCTCCCTGAGGAGATGGATCCCCCTCAGCCCCCTCAGCACAGCCAGGACACAACAGATTCAGCTCCAAACTCTTTAATGTCCCACCCTTGGCTCACAGCTCAGCACCAAGGGTGCTCTCCCTCCCGGATGCTCTTCCCCCCCAGCAACCTCACCTGGGCCTTGTGTCCCCCCCAGGCCACACACTCAGAGCTGGCTGAACCCGAACGGCATTTCCAGCTTGTAGGAGCCTCTGGAAGGAGAATCCGTAGGGGAGCCCAACAATCAGGGGTGGAAAATGGGGCTGTGAGCCCTCAGCCGTGTCTGAGCCATCCTGGGAGACAGCCACAACTCCAGGGGGACAGCCACAGCTCCAAGGGGACAGCCACAGCTGCAGGTGTGGCAGAGGGACATCCAGGGGATGCAGTCACAACAAGGGGTTTTAAGGGGGCACCTTGCTCTGTTTTGGGGGCACCTTGCTCTGTTTTGGGTCCCCATCCTGCCCTGCTCTGCTCCCTTAGGGCACCGTCCTGCTGGGGCGGTGGCAGGGCTGCAGGACACCTCCTCGGGGGACAAGGGACACCTCACTGGTATCCCTGAGCTCCCTCTGCCTATTTGCTGCTCCTGGCTGCGTCCCCCTGGCCCTGGGGGCTGTCCCTGTCCTCCCCTGGCCCCAGCAGGGGCTGCTCCATGTCCTGCTCCCTGTGGTCACTCATGGACATCTCGGCCAGGGCCTCGGCCATGGCCTGCTGGACACTCTCGGTCAGTTTGGGGACATCCTTTGGGCTCAGACCACACGTTTCCACCCTGGGGAGGACTTGGATGGTGCAGGTCCCTGGGAGAGGAGGGAAAAGCCAGGGATGTGTTAGAGGATCCCAGCAGGAACTGGGT